ACGAGCACTCCGTCCACATCTCGTCTTCCACCACACTCTTGATTATCTTTACTTCTTCGCACTCCCCCACGTCGAGTTCCCCCTCGATTATCGTATTTTCGCCAACCATCTCTTCTATCTGCATTGTTTTGTCCGCCTGCTGTGCAAAACCTTTACTCATACCGCTCCATCTTTTCTCCTCAATATTCTCATCTTGAGTGTTGCATTCAAGCAAGTACCATATGGAGTTGTATTGCATCATCTCTGGGACCTTCCCTGCTGTGGAAGATTATGAGTCTCTGTATCTGTGCACGACTCCCTACCCCGACCCAATCATCGATTCCTCTGTGTTCACCGGATCGTTCATTTTGTTGACCTCGATGACGAACCCTGTGATTAGTTTCCCTCGCTTCCATCGAAATGGCCCAGACTCCCTCCCTCCCTCCCCGCTTCCATCGCAATGGCCCCGGCCCCGGCCCCTCCCTCCCCGATCCCCCCCCGAGAGTGTTCGAGCCGTCAGACGACATCATGTAAGGAGGATACTATCCTCACGCTATTATCTGATTGGTTGCGAAAGAACTCACGAATCGATTTGGCTTTCCCCGAGCGATTAACCCGAACTCTCTCCTCACCCCTTCCTACCCTTGCCCCATTTCCTCCTATCTTTTATTTCCCTCTTCGCAACTATAAAATCCGCAAGCGCATCCGAAAAACTCTCTCCCGACCCATCTGTCAGTTTTTGGGAAGTCGTGGCTCGGTGATGTGTATTCACGGCAGGTCGAAAAGTCTTGATAAGCTGACTGTAGTTTTGTAAGGCTGTGTGTCGGGTGGCCGAGGCGGACTGCGGGATCTGGGCAAGTCGATGTAGAAGTTGAGTCGGTGGGCTGACGATCGCCGTGGTGTGGAGGTTGGTATGTGGCGGCTGGGATCGCCAGTGCAGGGGTAAGGAATGGCCTGGGGCCATAGTCAGATTGCAGAAGGCTTGCGCCCCTTTGATCTTCGGTTCCTCTTTTCTTTTGGAAGCTAAGTTCACTGCAGATTGCGGGTTTTGGTTCTCATATCTAATTGTGTGCTCACAACTTCTTCTTGTCTTTAGTCCCCTTCTTCGGTCAAGCTACGTCTCCGTCCATCTCCTTCGACTTTATCTCCCTCTCTCTTTCCCTCTTGATATTTGCTTCATGAATGCCTGAATGTTCCGATAACTCCCACCTTCCCACGTCCCTACCAGTTCCTGAGGTTCTGTCGTGCTCGTCTCGTTGAGTTCAATCGAATCTCGCGAGGACGAGTATCGTTGAATTAGAGAAACCAGCAAACTCAGATGATCTTGCCGCACCCCTTCCTTTGCCATTTAGTGTTTGGCTGTTTATGCATGAGTGATCTTTTACATATATGTATCGATTGAGCTGTTGCTCCGACGATGGGAATGAATTAAGATTCTGATATGATGCATTCGCACGAACGTATGATGATTGTCCTCTTGATTGGATTAGCTTGCACGATGTATGGAAGATAATGCATAGTGTTGTGTCTGCTTATTTCCGTGATTGAATAACGGACTGATGAGACAGAGGCAATTAGTTTTGCTTATGCCATGTGGACCGGTTGCCCTGATCCGACACCACGCCCGTTCCCTTATAACGAGGAAAGGACACGTTGGGAAGACTAACACAAGGAAAGAGCGACCAAGTTGAGGCCGTCCACGTCAGATTCCGAGCTCCGTAACGAACGGCGTCGGGACGCCATTCGAAAACGAGATCCCATGTGCGTACCCCCGCCTTTCTATTCGAAAAGACGTTGAGTAACCCACATGGAAGTTCAGAGATAGTTTTTTGAGTAAACTAACATTGCAAACAACAGGTGTCATTTCTTTCCTGTGCGGCTATGGCCATTTCTCACTAAACCGGAACCACATGGGGGAATTCAATTTCATATGTGTCCCCACACTCAATTTTCCCCAAAATCCTTGGCAGACCCCATTTTGTCGTTCCTTTAGGGCCTGTTCTGTATATTTTATCACTCTGACCGGAGGACAGCACAGGGTGTGAGGTTCACACTAGTGGTTAATGGAAGCACATATATAACGGGCAAAAAGAAAAACCGATAAAAGAGTAAAAATTCAGGGAAATATGGCAATTTCGATGAAAAATTCGTCGAATTTTTGGCCTTCCATTAACCGCCTCTCGAGGTTCAACGTCACAGACAAGGACAATCTTTACTGCGATGTGGACGTGCGGAGGGCGCTATTGCGGACTGGCGGGGTTTACTTTTCTAATCCGTCTAAGGCGTGCCACATAGGGGGAACCGGGTTTGTTTGACTGATCGTTTTTCTTCCCCCGTGCTAATTTTGCCTTATACGGACTTGATGGTGCTTCCCTGGTCGGCGGCCCACGCCATGTGGAAGCCTCAGTTCAATTGTCGCTGGTGCCGGATAAGATAGTGTTTGAGGGTCTTAGAGGGTTACTTGGGAGTTCATGGGGTCTTTGAATATTTGAAGGACTTTTGCGGTTCTCCGTCAAAACAACAATCTCAGCTGCTTCTCAGTCGTTTCCCATCAACATTTATATTGTCTTCAGTTATCTATGAACACTTCAGGGTCTTGAAGGTCCATGGCATCTCAGGTAAGATTGTTCCAAGGCAGTCACGTTCAAAGATCAGTCGTGCTGGGGCGTTGCCTTGTAACCTATGTTGACAGGGGTGAGAGCGCCGGGAGGGTTGGCAGAGAGATCTAGGGATGCTTTGGGGCGGGCATTCCAAGGGACAACCAGGGTTGCTGTCCCAGCTGACCTTGGTCAGAGCTGCTGCCAGAGAGATCCGGGGATGCTTTGGGGCGGGCATTCCAAGGGACAACCAGTGTAGCATATCAGAAAGTGAAATGCACTGAAAGCCTAGGATCTAGCAATGACGAAAGTGGCAACAACCAGCAACATATGTGCAACATTCACAAGGTGTCAATGTGCGCGACGCAAAGAGTGAAACAACGGGAAATCAATAACAACACATTCGTATCAT